AAAATGAAAGAAGAAAGAATAAGAAAATAACAATAAAAGGTAAATCTAGCCAAAAGATTGATATGATATGATATGATACGATCTCTATGCAGTTGGATATTGTGGTCAATTGTTATATCCACTGTTATAAGAAATGGGTGTCATTCGTTTTTGGTAATTATGTAGAAGTATAAATAATAATATAAATGGGAATTCAAAATTAATTACCAATAAAATAATGTATTGTTCAGCAGTTAATTTAAATGAAAGTAGTATACAGAATATAATGTAAGTGTATTAGCTGTAAGTTTATAACGAAAGGAAGATTTAATTCATTACCGTAGCACGTTGTTCAATAGTCTATTTGATGGATATGGATGTGTAGATGTGAGTATAGGTGTGGGTGCTGGTGTTATCTTTGCCCACATTCACACGTCCGCACCCACTCACAGCCACACCCCTCACACTCATATCACCACCCACACACACCATTCGAAAATTTTTCAGGAATAGGTAACAATATGCCTGTATGATGATGGGAGACCTATGGAAAAATATCTTCATCATCGTCTATACAACTTGATCATAATAAAAAGAACAGCAAGGCAAATAGCCAATATTTTGCAATACCACAAAATATGATCATGATTGTTATAAAGATACAATATCACTAGAGTATCGCGACCAAACCAGGTACCTCCACTTGTCTTCCAAAACATGGAATGATAGATTTTATTATGCAATATACGTACAACTTGTTTGTCTGTCTGATGGAAAAAGCGTTCCTGAAAACTAGCATAGAGTGGACCAGCACTAAGTAATATAGTAATATGATGAATGAGAAAATAATGATTGAAGTGAGGCAATCGTGAAATAAACTGCCTATATATCGGATGACCGGCAGTGCTAATTATGAAGTCTGTTTGAAGACCAAATACGTCGTCAGCTTGAAAAAGAGTAAGATGGGACGAGTCTGGATCAAGTGCTTCCATCGTGGCTACAAATTCGCGGAAAGGACGAGTGCAACCGTTGTCCATATCGATGTAGATGCCACCTAAGTGAAACATTAATACGTACCGGAATGAATCGATACGCTGCATATCATATCGATACTTGACAAAAGTATTCCAATAGAAGTGGGGTTCACGTTGTCGAACAAATGCATCCATGTCCGCATGTGACCATCGACGATACTGAAACTCACCAGTATTCATCGTCATCACCGATTGTACCGATCTATTCCAAATTGCGGGTATATCATAGGTGCGATAGGTTTGATGAATAACACGAGGTACACGTCGTTGAGGCCAAGTAACATTTCCGTATTGAGATAGATCCATGTCACTTAAATACTTTTGGGGAGAACGACGTCGCAATGCGTAGCTTATAGTATGAATGATTAACACAACGAATATAATGATGAATACACAAATACATATAGTAGTATGTCGTCGTCGAATGGCCCTTCTCATTCTCGAATGCATATTCATATTAAATATATCGTATCACACTGTCCTGAAATGTATGTACAATATTTCGCAATCGGAGGAGTTAAGGAAACTTTCTTTATTTATATATTAATCCTTTGAGTACCGGCGACGCGAATTCGCGTCCTGATAGTTTAGGGTCTGAATAACTTTAGAAAACATGATCGTTTGATTATTTTATGATATGAATTACATGAATATTTGCGTTTAGGATATTTGTGCGGTTAAGACTATCTGTACCTAGTGATGAATATTGGTTGTTCCCTAATATTTCTATCAACCATTATGTGATTCAATGAATTAGAACATAAGTCATTGGACAACATTTCCCAAGAAAGAATAATCGTTATCAACAGGATTTTTCATATTAACACAGTCATTCAAGAGTGTTATCTATTGTAAAGGTTCTGATCAATTGATCACATTTGATAACATTTTCTTTCGCGCATTGAATCAACAGAGACTTAAACTAAATCCAAGAAGAAAATGTTACGTTTGTGCCAATACTGTGAGAAGAGCCAGATCAAGAAGAGATACTTCGTATGAATGCATTGAATGTGATGTAGGATTATGTCTTATAGATTGTTTTAAAGACTAACACACTCTACAAGCATTTTAATTCATGTACTTTGTGATATTTTTTGCGAAATAAACGTTAGTTTAAAATTATAAAAATTTTTATTACGCGTTAAAACAGTTTAAGAATAATAATTTTTTACCGCTTTGTTAATTTTAAATGCTCGGAGTTATTGAAACTTTCATCGTTTTCATGCGTTTTTTGGAGGCTAATCAAACATTTTTAACGATTTCCATGTTTTTGATGAAAATATCTAGTAACAGTTAATAAAATTTTCGTTTAAACAATGAATTGATAAATATACGGGATGCCCAAAAGTCCATAAACAAAAATGGTTTTTCGGATAATTTTATTATTGATTGACTTTTATCAGCTAAGTCTTCTCGTATGATAGGTGACACGATCAACTTTTTATTTCTATAGACAAACTAAAGAAGTAATGTTCAAAGTAACTACCTCTAGAGAAGATAGAAAATTTCAACAATTTTTCTGAGTTCATAATGATGTTTCGCGGAGTTTGCTTTTGTTTTTTTTGCTTCGATTTCTTTATATATTCTAATCTTTGAATTATTCAAATCCGGAACAGTCGTTTTATAGAAATAGTTTGGATGTGTTCTCATAAAAGAGATCGAATAGTGGTGTGTGAAGTCGAAAGTCAAGCAGCTAAAAAAGACACGCTGTGACATATTATTGTGAAATCAGAGGCTGGATTATTGCAACTCGGTCATTGATAATTACTTTAAAACACTTTCATAGATTGTCTATCGAAATAAAACTGTGATAGTGTCACCTATCATACGAAAAACATCAGCTAATGAAAATCAATTAATAATGAAGTTCTAGGCGCAAAAAAGTTTTTTGGATAGGAACTCTTCGAGTATTCTGTACATGATTCATGTCGTTACTTGAAAAACAACTATTCCAATAGGCATAGGTGCGGATATGAATGAGAGCGTGAGGCTTGTCTTCTTTGACACTCACACCCAAACCTATTTTCACATCATATATCCACACTCCATATCTATACTCTATCGGAATAACTAAATGAGAAAAAGAAAACTAAAGTCAGTTATCTAATTCTAATTCTCTTTTAAAGCAAGCCGTAACTATTATGGTGTGTAAATGAAGACAAAAAAAGTGTAGTTAATTTTCTAATTAGATTTGCATTATAAAATGTGCAAGAACTATTTAAATAACTAAACAACGTAATGGAAAACGAAGATTAAAGTAGTTTTTTCAATTTTTCTCAGAACAAACGGGATGATTACAAACATAGTGAATAGAAGACAAGGATACTAAACTGAGTTATTTGATTCTTTTGATAAAATGTGCGATCACTCTCAATATAACTCATAGGTTAAAGAGAAAATTAAGCCAAGCAAACCTTTTAGATTTTTTTCAGAAAGTGACAAACAATACTCAGAATAACTAAGTGAAGGCAAAAGAAGGAGAGTGCTTCGTCATTATATTGCTCGTACAAAATTCTAGACACTCATGAGAATAAGTAAATGGAAAAAGAAATGGAAAGTGTCGTTTCGTATTGTGTTGATATCGTCAAATTCCTGGCAACAATTAGAATAAGTAAAAGAAGAAAAAAAGCGGATAAAGTGAGCTTTCACCATTTCTGTACGAACAAGCGAGAAGACGATTAACATAGTTAATAGAAAAAGAGCACACTCAATGAATTAATTTTTTTTGATACAGTGCGCCATCAATCTCAGGATAACTAAATGAAGAAAGGAAAAGCTAAACTAACCTTTCAAGTTTTTCTCAGAAAGTACTTAATAATACTCAGAATAACTAAATGAAGCAAAAAAAAAAGAAAATTTTTTCCTCTTCTATTGCTACTTTAACATACTCAGCAATCATGGAAATAAGTACGGGAAAAAAAAAGAAAAGTAACCTAACTTAACTTGCTCCATTTTTCTGGTAGGAAACAGGTAAAAAATTGAAGCAATTAATCGAATCGAAGCAAATTATAGAAACCTATTCCGCTTTTTTTTCAATAGAGTGTACCATCAGTCCGAGCAAAATTAAATAATAAAAGAGAAAAATAAAATTGACATAACCTATTTGACTTTCCCATAGGACGACGCCCAACGATGAGAATAAATAAATTAAGAAAACAAGAATAGAACCCTATGTAAAAAAAAAATGGAAAAAGTCAGATTATAATCGATTAATTTTTGATTCAAAATCGATTAAAATCATACACTTTTCATCGATTAATAACCTATTATTAATTCAATAAAAGCACGAACAATTAATTATAATCAATAAAACACTGATCTACTACTGTTGACCAGTCATAACTGATTACGTTTGATGTTAGTCGCTGCTAAATCGATTAATAATGAATTCAAAGATGTATGATTTTAATTGATTAGTAATCTCCTATGAATCAATTTAGAAACAAATAGGAAGTGATCATGAATCAAACCAGAATTGCTTAAAACTCCCAGCAACTGATTAAAAACACTCAAGCACTGATATGATTAGCACTTTCATTACTTTTAAATTATATATTGCATTCAAACGAACACACATAGATAAGTAAAAATGAGATATTTAACATATGAGGCAGATTAAATCCTGCATTCAACAAGAAAAAAAACTAATTGAAAAGCAATTCTTTAATCAAAACGAAAGATATGGGCATGGGTAGATAGGCGTGAGTGTGTGGGTGAATAATACCCACACCGAATTTGGTACTATTTATTAAGATAACATTCACCAAGGGATCTGCATTTTTACAATAATCAAACAATGGGAAAACGCGTACACGCCTATAAAAAGTAAATAAGAGGAAACATATGACTTCAACATTGAGTCTTTTTCTATTGATTGATTCATTATTTATTTTAGAATTGTCAGTTATTATTTTTTCTTATTTTTATTATTAACTAAAAATTGAAATCGACCATCCCTGTACCACTGGGTAAGCTTCAATCATAGACTGAAATAATCAAGATTTTTTACTATGGGCGGCAGCAGGAAGATGCCGCTGAACACGTCTTTGCTACAATTAGATGAACTAGTAGCCATACAATTTGACACTGGTTCTCTTCCACAAAGGAGTAGAACATGGTTTTTATCATAAATTCGGCTATGATGAACTTGAACTATGCCATCTGATGAACCCCTTAAGCAAGAACGAAACCGGTCATGGCTGCTAGTTCATTTAATTGAATGAAAAAACGTATATCTCAAACTTCTTTAGTGTTTTTCTCAAAGCACGTGTTCCAAATAGGAAAATTGAAATAACTTTCTCCCGACTCGGGTATAATCGATGTCTTTTTTTTATTTTAAAGATCGGGTGTGGGTGTGGGTATGATCGGGAGCATGGAGAGTAGATGTACACTCAGGATGTGGGTCCAGATCTACTCTCTATGCTCCCGATCATATCCCCCACACCCACACATCCCAAGCTCACACCCATGCACTTCACACACCCACACTCACCCTTTAATACATCATTCCAAAATCTGAAAAACTCAGATCTTGGAAGTCACCCGAGATTTGGTCAGAAAAATCTAAAACTTTGGGTTTATGAATAACTTTTTGCGCTCTTTTCAACTAGATATGTAATTTCAAAAAGTAAATTTTTTCGGCACCCTGCTTGGGGGTGGTCGTTTGATGGGTTGTCTCCTAAATGAAAAGAATTATTGTCTAACAGTTATAATTAAATTATAATCAATATTATTTTTAAATTTCAACGATAATTTTTTAAATAACTTTTGATCATTTCAAGCTATCGAATTAGGCGTTTCACCATTAGATAGAACAACCTTGGCGGCGTCTATCTGTCTGAAATTCATCAGGATCAAAGAAGTTTTTTATTGTAGATCTCTCATTGATATATTTTCTGTTACCCATTTTCGTTAGTTTTCATACACAGCTAGACTCAAATTACACCGAAATATAACCCAGAGAGTCCTGGATTCGCGTCAAAATCTCAAGATTTCAAAGAATTATCGTATTCGAGACAATGACAGAATGAACTGAAAATTTTGTCACAAATGCAGTACCCTTCAGGTTACTTTTGATGTAATTTGAGCCTAGGTCTATACGAAAACTACATTAATTAGAGATCTACAATAAAAAACTTCTTTGGTCCTAATTTATCTCACACAAATAGATGCTCTCAAGGTTGCTCTATCTAATGGTGAAAACTGATAACTGTTTTTGAAAATGGAAAACTTTTACAAGAATACTCAGTTGAGACAATATAAACTAAATGTGATATTGGTCTTGAACGACTACATTTTATGCAAGAGGACTCAGTGAAATAAGTTATTTTATATGTAGACATTTGTAATAATCTCTATCCGTCCTTTTTCTTATGTCAATAAATGATAATAATCGAAAAGGCTCTGATTTATTTCTCTGTAATTTATATATGTGTACTATTGGCCATCAACAGTATCTTCTCCGACAAATAAATCAAATTTTGCTCAGTTCTCATATGAATGTAGTACCAGTTTTTCAAGAATATTAGATTGTTTCTTCATTTTCTCGTGAAATTCTTGATGGCAACATGTATGAACAGTGAACATAAGATATGAAATGATGATGAAATTTATCATAAGACAGAAAAACATAATGGGATTCTGCAGTGAAGTTTTATATTTAAGAATTAATTTTGAGTGAATGAGCTTGATATGATGGAATTGAAGACCTTTCTATTAAAAACAAATAATAAATTTTATGATAAGATTCGACAGTGCGTAGTTTCTGCTCACGTGACTTTTATTAATGTCATAAAAATATGCATTTATAAAGATAGTTACTACTTTACATGATTGATGGTTAAATTCGTATGCGCACAAAAAAAAATACTAAAATAAACGCTAAAGACAAAAAATTCACTATTATTTATTTAAATAACTACCAGACCAACCATTGGAATAAAATGATGAAGGTCTATCTATTTGATCAAATATTGATAGTGTTATATTGTCATCATATTCCAATGTTTGCATGCCAGTATTAGCTTTCGAAAATAAGAAAAGAATAACTTAAATAGGACATTGATAAACACGAAAAATTTGGCATGTTACATTTCCAATTGAATTCAAATAAGGATACTCATGGTTACTATCATCCCAAACAATACAATTAAGTACAAGGTTCGCCAAACAAACATCGTTACTCGATTCAACAATCAACTGCGCCAATAATCATCGAACATGTCGTACATACTCCACTCAATAGATACGGTTATCTAAACAATTTCTTATTAACGATAACAAAGATATTTTATTATTTATTGAAATATATGAATTAATAATTACTTATCGACTCTATCGGAACAATATATGTAAATGAAATATATGATGAAGAATATTGTATATCATTTCTTGTTGTTTTATGTTGATGTAATACATTTCATCTAGATTTTAGATGCAATGAATTTCTTACTAACTAAACTTCTATCATTTGTTTATCGTATATAAGTAATGAATAATAATACTATATTTAAGTGATGATGATGCACAAATTTCATGTAATGAACGAGAATAAATAGCACTGTTTCTTTCCTGTTTATTTAATGTAAACAAATTGTTCTATCAAAATTTTCGGCAATTCTATTATGAATTTCTATGTTAAAGTTAAATAAACTAATAAAACCAATAATTAAACAGAGATTGCAAAGACATACTAGAAGATGCGTCAATAAGGATTTACCGATGATGATTTTAATTAATCTATTCATTGAGTTTTTAAAAATTAATTGAACAGAGCGTCGAGATTTGCGTTAGTGAATGGGATTAGTCCTTTTCATCTTGGCTCGAATTTTTTTAATTCATCAATCCAATCCATCACAGTAATCATCGTATTTCTGATACTCACCGTCATCTAAACTGTATTCAGACTTCGGTTAAGCTATCAATAAAGTCTTTGAAGTACAATCCTTACTATTCTGCATTTTTTGTGAATGATTTCCAGATAACAATTTTCAATTAATCATGATTCTTACCTATGCGTTTGAATTGTTAGGAAATGAACAAGAATCTATAATTCACACAGATCTTCGAACTTTCATCAGTTCTACCCAATATTTTCCGTGAATAAATGATAAACACTATCGTTATCATGTTTCCGAAATAAAAAAAAATACTTACGGCATACCAAAATTAGTAACGCCGACAACACTATAATATCTTACAGAAGACTTCAGGAAATTTTCTTTCTATATATACTAATAGCTCAAATCATGTTCTATAATTCTGAAGGTATGCTTTGAAAAATAAGTGTTACTTGTTTTACTAAATCAAGACAGATTAGAACCAAACCAAAGAAATAAGTGGATACAACAGCTTTCTAAAAATGAATCGTTGACTGAAAAGTGAGTACAAAGAAAAATTGAGCCCAAGATACAGAGGCATGAACTAACAATAGAAAAAAAAGGCATTCATATAAACTATGACCGCAAAAAAAGGTCCAAGAAAAAAGAATAATTTATTCTTTCAGGGTATGTGTTTGGAGTTTAGTAAGGATAAAGAGAAAGCACATATTCATATCAATACTCACAGCCCACAAAAATGCTTAACTCCATGGGTTCTATCACTCTATATAAGAGTAGGAAGTTTGCTTTAGAAAGCCTTATGGGCCAATCTTCCACCAAATAGGCTCCAGTTCTTTAAATAATTCATTAATATAATACGAGTGACTGTGAAGAGCGTTGTAGGTTTCATCAATATTGATGGATTGCACTGTTGAGTCACAACACGTATAAAGTCCGTAGATAATGGTCCAGATTTCGATGCACATTGAAGAAACCAATAACTATACCATTGCATAAATCGCATCATTAAAGTTGTTCGTGGCTGAGGATGCTTTGTCGTAGTCGAATCACTACCTCGTTAATAAACTTTAATATCACCATTTTTATTTGTTTCGATCACTTTTAATGTCGGTGTTTTCTAATCATTTGCAGTCGAAGCAAGCCGACATTCTGCAGTAATTACTGAAGCACGACGATTAAAAATATGAGAAATGTCTTTTAATTTATGGCAACTCTCGCCAAATATTTTCTCCAATTCTCTCGCATGTCTAAATGCATGTGTCATACCTTGTGCATATTGAGAATTAAATGCACACATGGTATCGCCTAATAATATATAATTTTGAGGCCATTGTTTACCTAATAATTCGACATACTTTCGATCATCAATCGCACGACGATATGAAATTAATGGGCTGTATACTTTTGTTTTTTTTTAGTACCGTATAATATTCTGGATCCAGATTTTCTTTTATTCATTCTAATAAATTTTCGCATGAATCATTTGGTGGATATTCAGAGTTAACGCAATATATACCATATGTTGCTAGTATTCCTAATGAATTGTCATCGATTGTTTTATTACACGTATTGGAGTTGTAGTAAATCCAATATATTTATTAGGAGCGTCAACTGCGACGCCAATGAGCGCTGCTGAATCAAGCGACGGATTGTCAGTTCTAAATCTTTCACCAATAAATGTAACATAGCCACAACAAAAATGTACTTGTACAGTTGGTATAATTAAGTTGAAATTCTCCTTTAACCATTTAGGTGATGATGTATTTCGACCAGTACAATCAATAATAAAATCACCATACATATCAAATGATGATGAATGAATATTTTTCTTTGATCGATATTTTATACCTTTAACAATATTTAATGATTGATCAACGATTAAATCTATTACTCTTGTATTACATTTTCATTCAATTTGATTATTAAATTTCAAACACAATTCTTTTCTCAAAACTATTTCTAATGTAAAACGATCAATACCCAACCAATCAAAATCTTCAGTTAAATCTTGATTTAACAATATATTGCCAGTCATGAGTCTTGATTCGATTTTCAATGAATAAGTGCGAACATCATATTCATTGAATAATTTATCTTTTAGTTGAGGGAATAATCCAAGTATTATTTTATATCCTTCACTGTGAAGCCCATGTACTTGATATATTTGACTAACACCTGAACGTCCTAGTGATGTTGGACTCTCACAACGGCAACGATAATCTAATATTTCACTAGATGTAGATTTCATGAATATATCATTC